CAACTATCTGCTTTGCAAACCAGATGCTCATTGTTTATATACATGATAGGTCAGATTTGAATTGTGCCTCAGCCATGTTGTAACCCATAAACATTTGTTTGTAAATTACCTTGAGATGTTCTGCCACATAACCTGTGATGACCCGCAGACCAGAGTTAGTCCGACAGGACCGTGCGCTGTCTGATGTGGTGGTCAGTGATATTGGAGCCCCACAGAGAGCTGTCCTGTCTCCCACCCTGTTCACCTTGTACACCACCGACTTCCAGTACAACTCTCCATCATGCCATCTGCAGAAGTTCTCTGATGAATCTGCATTGGTCGGGTGTAGGACAGAAGGGAGGAGGAGAGGAGGATTGAGAGTTCTGGGTGAAGAAGTGGACATGGTGGAGTACAAGTACCTGACTGTTTCTCTTGAGGAAACTTCGATCCTTTAATGTGTGCAGCAAGATGTTGGAGATGTTCTACCAGTCTGCTCCTTTGCCATTGTCTGCTGGGGGAACAGCATTGGAGCTGGTGACACCAACAGACTTAAGAAGCTGGTGAAAAAGGCCAGCTCCATCATTGGCTGCCAACAAGAGCATCCTGAACAGGTGATGGAGACGAGAACACTGAAAAAACTGTTGTCCGTATTTGACAACCCGGACCACCCTCTTCACCACCTACTGCAGGAACAGCGGAGCTGTGAGAAGGACAGATACAGGAAAACATTCCTGCCAACTGCAATAAGACTGTACAACAACACCTCTGGCTAAATGCATGTTTATTTGAACAACCCCTGAAGTACTGTCTTAATTTAATTTTATACATATTCCACCCCACTGTACATACTCCTTTCACTTAATTGAATTGAATATGTTCTGCTACGCTATTCTATTTTATTCTACAGTACTGTGTTGTATATATTGTACATTTCTCATTTTATTTACTGTACTGCTGCTATTGCACACAAATTTCCCCTTGGGGGTTAATAAAGTATTTATCCATGAACTATAGCGCTCGCCCTACAGACTTGACCTCATCCTGACAAAATTGTATTTACTTTGTGGCCTTCGTTAAAAAAAAATGCAATGGACTGCAGAGGAGCCTTTTTCACACGGTTCTCTTGTAGATGAGAATGTTGTCGACGTATTGAATGACATTAATTGCATAGACTAAAGTGTTCATATTGACAGGCCTAATTATAATATAACAATTCTATCTGGAGATATTTGAGTGATTTCGATTTCCCCGCTGTCAGCTCACCTGTCTCCGTCCTGAATAAATTAAATTGTCGTCGGCCCGCACTGCATGATGGGATATGTTGGGCCGCAAAGGACAGATCAGATGTGTCCTCCAAATCTGTGCCTGCAGGGCTGCGGTCTTCGACCGCGTTCGGAGTCCTTAAAGATGCAGCCTATAAATCGAGACATACCCACAATATCACTCATTGGCGTTTTCTTACTAAATCAATTACCACTGACAACACTTGTACTCTCAAGGACCGTATTGTTCTCCTAGTGTTGAAATAGGAAATATAAACAGAATCTGGTGCCTCCATCCATTTTCAAAAGCTTAACCTGGGTTGGGTCGCGGGGTCAAAGGCATAAGATGTCCTTATTATGTTAAAATGTTATGTTTAATATTTAACTGCAAAGTAATAATGCATGTTTAAGACCTTTTTTGCATTGAATCCTACTGGGATGTTTACTGAAACTAATTGGCTGGCCCTACCAAAAAGAAATCCAGCAGCCGCCACTGCCGCTATCCCTAATCAGTCCACCGGGGGCTGCACTGTATGAGTGGGGCCACATGAACACTCCGCGCCCCCCCCCCCCCTCTGACAGTCACAGACTTGCCGTTGCGTGCCGGTGCCACAAGGAGGATCTCGGCCCTGCTGAATTGAGCCGGTCCTTTCTCACCGATCTGGGCCGTTTTATGCATTTACCGTAATTGTGTGCATATAAGTTCACTAACAAGTATCTGCTGAGTTGACCAAGGACACCCGAGTGTCTGCTAAATTGACCGCAGTCTAATATTCTATTTATGTGTACTAACAACTACCTTCTGAGTCACGATAACATAAATAGATGCAGACACCTTGTGAGCGTCACGTTGTTGGATGCAGGTCTCCTGTCCTTTTATTTTGAAGACCTTTTATTTATTTTGTCAACCAGCGGTTTTGCTGCTCGCTTCGCGGTGCTGGTCCGCTGGAAGCTGCGCGCCGTGCCGCAGCGCGGAGAGCGGAGACCGCAGAGACCGCAGCGCGGAGAGCGGAGACCGCAGAGACCGCAGCGCGGAGACAGCGGAGACCGCAGAGACCGCAGCGCGGAGACCGCAGAGACCGCAGCGCGGAGAGCGGAGACCGCAGAGACCGCAGCGCGGAGACAGCGGAGACCGCAGCGCGGAGACCGCAGAGACCGCAGCGCGGAGAGCGCAGAGACCGCAGCGCGGAGAGCGCAGAGCGCAGAGCGGAGACCGCAGGAACGACCGTCTGGCTCACATCAACCGTCCAGTCGGAGCACTCGGTGAGGACTAATAAATAGGGTTGACAGCTGGATTGTGTTCAGCCCGGAGACTCAATCCCGAATGTCCTCCAACTATGAACAAGCTGCAACAGGAATCGAGCAATAAGGCAAGTTTACAAAAGTCACCAACTGCTGGCTGGGTAACTTCTGCCATTGAGTCTCCTGTGATTGAACCCGATACCGAGGACAGACACTCGGCTTAATGGTACTTTCTCCTCCATGGATGCGTGTGTACGGGGAGAGGAGGTTGCCGCTGCGCGGCGGTGACACAGACGCATCGCTCCTTCAGGCAGAGCGATGCTGCTTCTCTAGCGAAGCCTCGAATTCCGATGATGTTTACGGGTTCGGCCGGGGCGGATGCGTCTTATAGACCACGTCCACCCATGCACGGCGCTGTGAGGTTCACCGTCCATCTCATCACGATGCACAACTTGTGGCTTCCCACCAGCGAATTAGCGGCGGTGCAGCTTCCTCTGCTGAGCGGGGAATGAGTCAATGCAGTGGTGTTTTTTGTTGTAGTAAAGGGTGGAGCATCAGTCACATGTGACTGGTAAAAAACTACATTGTTTGACAATAAACGGAGATGCGATAGATTTACCACATTGATTTTGTGACTTACTGTTTTACTGCTCTTATTACCCATTAGTAAGAGCTGTGAGGACATATGTTTGCTTCATCTTGTTGGCCTGCAGCTTCATGTTATGTAGCCGCCTCATAAAAGATGCCACAGAGCGTGTTGTGGACCAGCCACCATCCCCTCCCAACAACAGACATGAGGAGCAAAATATTGACAAACTGGCAGTTGTCCTTTGTTCATGTCGTGTGGTTAACATATCCTCTTTGTCTGGGCAGAGATGTGTTTCGTTTGGGGTGACCACATGTACAAGGTGTCTCTCAAGTCCTGGGATCCGTCGACGGCTGAATTTCAAGGATCATTGAATTGGCCAAATTGTATAGGCAACGCAATATATGAGATGGCTTCATTATATTTGATTTCATTCCTCGTGCACTGTTGTCCTGTCGTCTATTGTAGTACTGTCTACTGTCACGCACCAACCGCCAAGTCAAATTCCTTGTATGTCTGACATATTATGGCAATAAATGTTTCCTGATTTCCGGAAAACCATGCGCCATCTTATCCAGGTTTTGTTCACGTTTTTGGTTTCTCTAAACATGACGGCTGATGACGGCTACTCAGCTGAACTTTAAAGCAGTGGAGATTGTTTTTAGTTAAATGGGTGGATACAAACAGAAGGCCATCCAAAGTGATTAATTTGTTCTCCTGTAGTCCTTTTTAACTGACAACACTTTTTTTATTAGTAATGCAGAGTAACTGGTGTTGGATTTAGCATAAACTGACTGTGTTATGGGTAGGCTGCAGTTTCTCCCCATCCTGTGTGTGTGTCTGTCTGTGCTGCCTGTCCCCACCTACAAGAGGCGTGGCCATCCATCCTGCTCCGTCCCCACACAGCTGATCCACATTCCACAATCCACCCCTGCAGTATTTAGACCCGGGCTGCCCGCTTCTCCAGCGCCAGATCGTTACACACCCACACGTGATCCCGCTGTCCCTGTTCTGTCCTGCCGTCTGCCTCTGTCCCTCCGGGGTCCCCCTTCCCTAGAAATCTGTATTCATTAAATCACTCCTATGCATTACCACTCCTGGTTGAATCTCTGTGTGCTGGGTCGAATACCCACCCCTTAACAGAACGATCTGGCCATGGACCCTTCGGAGATTCCCCAGGCTGTTCAGGCGGATGGCACACAACAGGCAATCAACTCTCAAGGAATTTTGCTTGGACAACACGACCAGATGATTCGCACCCTTCTGGAGAACAATCAGCAGCTAATCAACCAGTCACCCAATTAACTACACAAGTGGCTAACCTGTCTCTTCCCAATCCCCCATCTCTCTCTGCTCCTTCCGTCTCACCACCTGTTTCCCCAGACATGGCAACCATTCCGTCCCACCGCGAGCCTCCCATCAACTCACCTGAGTCTTTTGCTGGGGAGCTGGATAAATGCCGTGGATTTCTCCTACAATGCGGGTTGATCTTCGAACAACGGCCACAGTCCTTCACCACTGAGTCTGTGTTTTTGTGTGTTTTTGATCATCCAGGCTATGCTGGAAGCGCTTCAAAGCGACTGATGAACCTGAAGCAGGGTGCCGGCAGCGTGGCAAACTACTCTGTTGGATTTTGGACGCTGGCGGCGGACTCCAAGTGGAATGAGGAGGCACTGCAGGGAGCATTTCTCAATGGTCTGAATGACTCCGTCAAAGATGAACTAGCGGTCCGGGATGAACCTAATGATTTAATGATGATTTAAAGCGAAAAAATGCGACTTCCATCAGCGTTCGGTCCCCTTCCTGGGATTGAGAGTGTCTGCAGACCCGGAGAAGACCAAGGCGGTTACTGACTGGCCCAAGCAAAGAGACACTTCTGGTGGCCTTCGGTGGAAGCTGATGTCCGAGTCTACGTGGCAGCCTGCTCGATCTGTGCTCGGGGTAAAGCCACCCACCAATCGCCCTCTGAACTTCTGCAACCCCTTCCAGTCCCTAGTCACCCCTGGTCTCACGTGGCGTTGGATTTTGTCACCGGCCTACCTATGTGTGAAGGTAATGATACTATACTTACCATTGTGGACAGATTCTCTAAATCGGTTCACAATATAGCATTACCCAAATTACCTACTGCTAGTGAGACAGCGGACCTCATAGTCCAACATGTATTCCGTCCCCATCAGGGCTGTAGTGGAGGGTAAACGCACGTAAACGCCGTTTACGCACCTCTGGAATTTTGGAAATAGCGTTTACGCACCTAATAAGTGGCGTTTACGCACCTCAAAGTTCCCTGCGCCTTGTATTCTTCCGTTGGAATAATCCGAAATAAACTTGGTATAATTTTAAAACAGCTAAAACTACGTTTCCTTTTGTTGAACATATAAACGCCGTAGTCTGAATCCTTTTCATCTGCGCTGTATTACGGTCTGTGAGCATCCAATCAGTGCCTTGCGGCTGCAGCAGACACACGTTGGATCAGCCCAGCGGTCCCCAACCTTTCTTACCTCACGGACCGGTTTCATGTCAGACAATATTTCGCGGACCGGTCGAGAAGGTCCGACGGGGGGGGTGTAGTAGTCGTTGCGGGCGGAACGACCGAAGCGGGAGGGGGGGGTAGTAGTTGCGCGCTCTGTGTTCGCTGGGCGTGCACGGTAAAAGGACAAGAAAAACGCCTGGTGACGTGTGCGCATAATTAGGAGAAAATCCAGTCAATGTTCAAAGGCTCTGCCTCCCCTGTCATCATGAGCGGGGAGCAAAGCTGTTGCTTCACTGAATAGGCCTATATGCTTAATCAATTATTTTAAGTCATGAAAGGTGTAGAGTAGCCTGTAAGCGTTAGAAAACAAGTCAGTTCTCAATGTGAAAAAAACCCTGCTGTATAGGCTATTTATGATGACATAGGTAGTACATGAGTGTTCCTTCAACTTATGTTGTCAGTGTAATTGACAGGCTGTTTAACCGGTTAACTCTAAATTCAACATATTTTTCAGGCAGTGAGAGGACAGGCATGATGCAGAGAGCACAGGGAGAGGAGAAAC